GATTGGCAGCAGGAACATAGGCATTGATTAGGTCTATCAACCAAGCACTTGTGATGCTCTTGTAGATTTGTCCTTTGTATTGATTCAGAAGGTGGGTTTGTGAAATGGGGTCTGCTACGGCTCCTGTCCTGGAACTTCTTCTCCTCCCTCCCACGGTCACTTGAACGAGGTCGCTGGGGGTGACCTCGCCTCGAGGAACACGGAGGGCTTGAATACCGCGCATCAACTGTTTTCGCGCGTCTTCTCGAGATTGGTTTTACCGACCCTGCTCGACAGGTTAATTCGGTGGCAGACTTGACGAAGTCAAGGCCAACAGTTAGGTTTGGAGCAAGGAAGACCAGTAGGTCGACTGCGTTTTGTTCACCATAAGCGCGTCGTATTGCTATAACAACTAGCGGAGGCCTGGGAAAACGCCGGTATTTGAGTAGCCAGGTGCTTAGCGGAACATCGAGTTCGTGCAAATTGGATTCAGGAATGGTGTGTCTAGAGTCGGACGCTCTACGAAGGTAGGCGAAACAGACACTCGAGTTCCTGTGTGAGGCAGATTGAACGACCTCAAAGCATAAGCAATCACAAATTACTATGCGCTCAATTTTATATACGTCCCGTTCGTTAATTAGCGTCCCTTCCGCATCGTAGCGTCGATATCGCCAACTTCGAACACTAAGACATTCATCCTCCAGAGAAACGAGGCGTGATTCAATAGGATTTTGAATGTCGAGCTTGCTGAACGGGATCTGGTTTTCTAGTGCTTGCTTAAGGTAGGCAATATAGTACTCCACTAGTTGATGGTGAATTGCATCAGTTGTAGAGTAGCCGAAGTTGTGAGCCGTAAAACGGCCAAGATACGTGAATGAAAACGTCCTTTCAGCTGACATTAAGCGCATGAAATGAAGTGGCACCTCTTGGACTATGGCAATAATTTGCATAAATATACCACGTGCACCACGACCAAGTGAATTATGTTAATTCACGGGAAAGAATTGGCGGAATACCGCGATCTTGCCCACAAACCTATTTTTGTTGACGCACCACGAAGTCACACTCATTTTGAAGGAGAATCACAGATAATCTCTGTTTTTGTCGTCTACACGGTTAGCGTACATGG